GTCACGCCGCAATCCCTTCTCCTCCATTCTCCTCTCGGGATCTTGGGCACGCACGCACACGCGCCCGGCGTGAGTTTTAAGCCACCGGGTCCGGGACACGAACCGCGGTCGACTACGTGGGAGTCCAGCGACATAGCCATTACGCTAACTGCTGGTTCCCAAGGCCCCACCTCTTGACATTGTCACCTGGGGGTCTGGTGTCAGCTTGGACACTGGAAGGACACCAGTGCTCAGACCACGGCAGGCCGCCCTAATGCTGTGATGACCCGGAGCTGGGCTGGCTGCTGGCTGCACGTACCCAGGTGCCCAGGTGCCTGTCTGGTGTCTGTTCCTGGCCACTGGGAGACGCCACCTAGGCCAAGCCTCACCCTGGCTCATGCTGGCCAGGTGTCAGGAAGTAGGGGGTCAAAGGGACATTACAGAGGGCAGAGGCGCCATGTCAGCCCTCCAGCGCTTGCCTGCGCCCGGCCTCTGGCCTGGAGCTGTCTGTTCAAACCCCAGTCCCCCGCTGGCTCCCTGCAGCCGGGCTCCCACCCACCAAGCCATGGCGCTCTGCAGTTACAGGCTCCTTTTCAAGAGTCAGCACTTCCAGCTGTGAGGTGGGTGCCTCGATGTTGCCGGGGTCAGGCTGGCCACTGTCACCGAGGACATTGCTTCTGGGCTGTGGGGCTTCAGAACGAGGATCTGAGAGAAGAGAAGACGTCACCCAAGTGCCAGCCGCCTCACCTCCGACGACCAAGGCGACGGGGAGTGGGGACTAAGTTCGCTGTCCCGGCTGTAGGTGCCAGGTGGACGGGCTGTGTGCCCCCCGCCTGCCTTTTCTGGCCTGGAAGGTTGCAGTAGCTCCCTGCTCCCCGTGCCTCCACTTTGCTCTGACCCCCACTTGTCTTTAGTGAGACGTTTAAACTGCCCCGCACTGCAGTGACTGCTCAAGGCCTCACTGGGGCCCGGCTCACTTCAGATAAGATCCGGTCTTCGCCTGGGCTTCTGGGCTCTGCAAGACTCGGACCCTGCCAAGGCCTTGGGCTCCAGGGACCTACTCTCTCTAGCTCCCTAGATTCTGAACACATCACCTGGTCCCACCGCACGGCCTCTGCCCCAGCCATCCTGCCACCTGCGTGGCCGGTCCCTTCTTGTCCCAGCCTCAGCTTCCCCCGAGCCTCCTCTGGTCCCACTCAGCTGGCCACTGCCCACCCTCCAGGTCCCCCGTTCAATTGCGAGTCGTCTCAACTCCCCATGGAAACACTGTGGCTCCACCTCTCCAGGTCAGGTTTTAAGGAAAACGTGATTGAGCCGTTGAAAGAATGAATGAATGGCCCAACTACTTCCTCCCAATATCTGAAAGAAGGACGAGGGGTCAGGTGGCCATAGCATTGTTTCTTGGGATGAATCCGTGGGTGTGGGTGACAGCCTGGTACGAGGACAGGAGGAGCCACGTTCCAGAAGGCTCAAAGTGGGCGGGGCTCAAGGGGCCGTGGCCTGGGCGTTCTCACCCTTCGATGCTCTGATGCAGCCTGGAGCTTGGGTCTGGCCCCTGCTTTCTCTGCATAGGCTGATGCCCACTGGTGTGCCCCCTGCCCCCTCCACCTGGCTCTGAGCTGAGCCTGACTACAGCTGCCCCACAGCCTGCACCCCCTCCTGCACAACAGGAATCCCGGCCAGGACAGCTTCCTCCCGGGGGTAGCAGAGACCCCTCCCCCGAGTCTCAGGTGGGCTTGGGCTGCCTCACACACGGGCATTGCCCAGTCCCCTGTGGCCAAGTGCAGGCCTATCTGGGGAACGGTTGGCTCTCCTCACCGTCCCTTCCCTCGTCTCGCTGGTGCCAAACTCAGCTGCACGGAGAGAGCCCCAGGGGTACAGAGCACGAGGGAGGCCAGGCTGGGACTTTGAGGGGCAGCTGGACCACGCCCGGAGCATGAGAGATCCCTGTGCTCCGGGCAAAGCCACGCTGTCTGGGGTCTCTGCCCGGCAGAACCCACTCCTGACCTGGGGCTGCATCGGCCATGGCAGGTGGCGCTCTCAGGCATGGAACAGCGATGACCATGAGAACGCTAAGACTGCTGGGAGCCGTGGGACTGGGCGCGGGGCCAGGTGCGGGCAGCTTTGCCCACGTGTCTCACTCAGCACGCACACAGCCAAGGTCAGGTCCACCCTTCAGTCTCCGAACCCACTCTTCACCACTGCCTTACACTGCCAGACTCAGGGAGTGGGGAACGGCTGCTGAAGGAAGGCGGGCAGGCGGCGGGGAGCGCGGCACAGGGTCCGTGCCCCCAGGCTCACCTGCATCCGCTCCCGGCTCTCCGGCTCCAGGCCCTGCATCTGCTCCCGGCTCCCCGGCTCCCAGCCCCGCATGCTCT